GGGGGGGGGGGGGGGGGGTGCGGGCTTTTCCGGCTGCAGGATCTTCAGATTCAGGCAATGCCCTAAAAGTGCATGTGCCCATGTAGCACATGCTTGCACGCTAGAAGGGAGCTCCCATGCAGGGACTCTAAGGCCGAAGTATGTAGTGCGGGCACATGGACCGCAGCTGAATACTGTAGGCTCTGAACCTGAACCCGGAACCCTGAACTCTGAAACCCTCAACCCCCAAAACCCTGAAACCCTGAACCCTGAAACCCTAAACCCTAAACCCTGAAATCTTGAAACCCTAAACCCTAAACCCTGAAGCCCTGAAACCCTGAACCCTAAAACTTGAAACCCTTGAAACCCTGAAGCCCTAGACCGCGGATAGCGCACCCAGTGCGACTGATAGCAGCCGTTCGCGGGTGCAGAGTCGGCGGCGCGAGGATGGCCCCTTAGGGAAGCGCTCATGGGTTCCTTCAAAGGATTCCTTTAAGGAGTTCCTTAAGGGTTTAGGGCTCAGGGTTTAAGGGCTTAGGGGTTTAGGGGTTTAGGGGTTTAGGGTTTAGGGTTTAGGGTTTAGGGTTATAGGGTTTAGGGTTTAGGGGGGTTCCTTCAAAGGTTCCTTTAAAGGGTTCTATAAGGGTACCATAGGGGCTTAGGGTCTTCTGGGGATCCGAATTTGTGCTTTCAGGGTTTCGCTAGACCTTAAACCCCAAGCCCTGCACCCTTTAGGGTTTAGGGTTTAGGGTTTAGGGTTTAGGGTTTAGGGTTTATCCCTAAACCTCTAGACCCCTAGAACCTCATCAGCCAACCCGAAATCCTCAACCGTACACCTGCGGCGGACTTGGGGCTTCGAAAACCCTTGCACCCTAAGCCCTTGCACCCTAAACCCTAAACCCTTAACCCTGAACCCTAGAACCTTGTGTCCACACCGTAGGACCCAAGGATCCTACCTGATCCCCGCCTTGGACCCTAAGCCCAGAGCAGTAGCGCTTTGCTTCTGCACTATCCTTGTCGAGCGCCTGGTAGAAGAAACACTTCTGCCATGTGTGGGCTCCCCACCCGGGGAAGACCCGCTTCTTGTTTGTTTTCTCGCCAAACAAAGTAAATCCATGCTGCCTGTCAAAGCAGCATTCACAGAAAAGTTCAGCACGTCCACTTTGACGTGTCTGGGCACCAGGCCAGCCGCCGGTGCGGCTTGTTCGCATCAGGGGAACCACGGGACTCAAGTTCTAGACTAGAAGCACGCACTCTGAATCTTAAACGCGAACCCTAAATCAGTCTTAACCCCTGGAACCCTAAACTCTAAGCCCTATAAACCCTAAACCCTCACCCCTGGAACCCTGAACTCTAAAACTGAAACCCCGAAAGCACAACTTCGGATCCCCAGACGACCCTAAGCCCCTATCGTACCCTTATAGAACCCTTAAAGGAACCCCCATAAACCCGAAACCCTAAACCCGAAAACCCTAAACCCCAAACCCTAAACCCTAAACCTTAAACCCTAAACCCTAAACCGCAAACCCTAAACCCTCCTTCCTCCACCGGACATGCACAAGGAGTGCTCCAACCCCGAGCTCTCACCAGCATTCGCCAGGAAGGGCACATGACATCCTTTACGAAGGCCCGGTTTAGGGTTTAGGGTTTCGGGGTTATAAGGGCTACTATAAGGGTTTAGGGTTTAGGGTTTAGGGTTTAGGGTTTCAGGGTTCAGGGTTTCAGGGTTTCAGGGTTCAGGGCTCAGGGTTATAAGGGCTACTATAACAGTTACTATAAGGGTTTAGGGTGTAGCGGCCTTGATAGTCAGACTAGGGTTTTGGGGTATACTATACTATAGCTACAGGGTTTAAGGTTTCAGGGTTCAGGGTTTAGGGTTTCAGGGTTCAGGGTCCAGGGTTTAGGGAATTAGGGTTTTGGGTTTAAGGCCTTAAGCTTTGAAACTTGAAGCCCTAAACCCTAAATCCCAAACCCGACACCCAAAGTCCTAAACCCCAAATCCTGAAAGCTTCAATCCTAAACCCTAAACCCTAAACCTGAAACCCTAAACCCTGCTGACTAGACCACTCAACCCTGAACCCAAGACCCACAAGCTCTTGAACCCTAAACCCTAAACCCAAAACCTTTAAACCCAAAACCCTGAACCCCAGACCCACAAGCAGAAACTCCGTCTGGGGCCCTTTCCGGGAAGCCCTCGTACCGGTTCGGGATCCTTGTTGGGCTCTGCTCCTGCATCGCGGGGCTTAGTCTACTTAAAGGGTTTAGGGTTTAGGGGTTTCGGGTTTAGGGTTAGGGTTTTGGGTTTAGGATTAGGGTTTAGGTTTTAGG